AACGAAATGTAGCGTTTAAATAAATGTCGCAAAACAACCGCGAACAAAAAGTGTAAACCCAAAAACAAAAACTGGTAAAATGGTCGTGTGTCAACTAAATATTCCTTTAACATAACCAAGTAGAAAAGTGATGCTGAGAAAGAACCAATGGACTGTCCTCTTGCAAATGGCACTGCTGAAAATGACATGAAGAAGGGGGTCCAATAACAACGTCGTGTCTGTACCAGTCGGGCTAGCACAGTGGAGCGTTTAAACAACAGTCAATAAATGGAAAATAAGTGGAATAAATAATGGGTGATAAGCTCGTTCACAAAAAGTAAATGTCAAACAGCTATTATCCTAACAAATATTAGGACGACGGTTAAATTTAGCGTTTATAAAAATACTTCATTTAGGTGACAACAGCAAACTGTTTACTCTATGAGGAATATTTCAAAAATTGGCATGCCATTAGAACGGTAGACTATAGCAAAGCATTGCTAGGTGATCACAGCACAGGTTATGATTGACTTGCTCTTAATACGCCCTAATATAACGCTATCAGATTTATAGTAATGATCATATGTCACTAGAAAACATAACAACATAAGTTAGGGAAGCTGATTTGCAGCGCGCTTTCTATGAATGTGATCTTGAGGTGTTCATGCAGGTTGCTCAAAACAGACAGGCAAAACAAACAGCAATCAACAATTGGGCCTCCTGTGGAGGACATTTCGCAGTTTTGATCCCGTAAACTTTTAGTAAACGGCCAAGACCCATGTGAGGTCACATTTGGAATACGCCAACGAGGTTTGACACCCCTGACAGGAAAAAGACTTCAGTGCTCTAGTGACTCCATAAAGGAAGGCTTCTAAGAAAGTTAATATCTTGCTTACCTCTTGTACAAGTTTAGGGTAACACGTGAGCAGTTTGCCGTGAATACTATCGTCTTCTGCGAGTTGACTTCACATTGATGCAACAGATCCTTAAGGATCCCAACGAAGCATGCCCACACTGATTGAAACTCACCCACTAACAGGACTTAGCCACATCTCTTTCGCCGCCACGGATGTGCTGAAACGACCGATGTCACTTCGAGGGTACACTTCATCTGGTTCGCATAGCATACACCCCAAGTCAGCTGCCATGAGTCTGGTTAAGCCCTTGTCTCAGATTTTCCAACTCGCCGTCGCCGAAATAAAGGTCCCAAATACATGGAAGGGTGGAAACGTTACCACCATTTACAAAGGGAGCAATCGTTTAATATTTGCCAGCGACCACCAGATTATTCTTCTTGCTTTGCTTGCTAGAGTCACAGATTAGGTCGTTGCGGATGCACTCATGTGCCATATCCTCATGCTGGAACGGTATGAACTCCGCCATAGCTGCTCTTGTACCATGAATGTTTTGTTAGCCTGTGCTAGCTGGACGGAATCCGTTGATGCTGGACTATGAGTTGAGACCGCGCACCTGGATTTTTCGAAGACAGTTTATGGCATTCATTCCTAGATTCTTTTTACAAGCTTCGAAGCTACGGGATCCGTGATCATATACTGGGCTGGATTCATTCATTCCTACTCCGACGACGCCGCTTGAATGTGCGGGTTCCTAGCATCCTGTTCGACCCGACAAAGCTTCATTCTGGGGCCCCGCAAGGCTCAGAATCAACTCACGGCTATTCCTCGTGTTCATCAACAACTCCGTTGAAGGACTGAAGTGTAAATTTCTATTATTTACGGAATATCTCACGATTAGTTGTGGATCCGAAGGAGTAGACGACCAAATAGCACTACAACTTGATCTTGATAGGGCTTACGGATAGTCTACCAGGAAGATGCTTCAGTTTAACTTTGCCAGCTTAAAAACAATGTGCATAATCCACCAGGGCACCTACCTATATCGACTGGGAAGACACGTCCTGCATTGCAATTCTCATGAACGCAATCTCGGGGTGCTCGCGCAGGACGATCTCGGATGCACAAAGCTGGCTGAAATGTGGTGAAAAACGCCAGACAACGGTTGGATCTACTGCGGAGGGCGTTTGGCCGGTTTGATCCAACCTTCTTTTCGTAAATACTCAACATTTACTTGAGAACACAGGTTGAATGCGCCATACAGGTGTGGCACCCCTAGCATAAACATGATTTCACTGCACTTGAGAAGCCTCAACGGAGGGCGATACAAATGTTAAAGGATTGTTCCACCTCCTTTATTAGTTGATAATAAAGACTATAACTTTTCAGTGAATAATATCCTCTTCCGCGAGCTGATATCATATTTGTATATCAGATCTTCAATGATCCGGACCACCTATGTGAACCCTTGTTGAAACAGCCACAACAACTCATTGAGAGGCCACCATTTGAAGTTGGCGATACAGTGTAGCCGGTTGGAATACCACCAGCAATTTTCTCTTTTCGCGTATCGCAGCTGTGTAACAATTCTGCAGATTTTCTTATCTGCTGCCACGTTCTCCGAAAGCAAAACCACTTGACGACCCACTACATGATTTAAACCCCAGTAATTATTACAAGGCATAGCGTAACCAAACTGTACGTACATGTGAGCCCACCGACGCGCGTTACTATTCGTATCTTCACTCTTTCCTACGGGACCCACTAGGCATTTGCTTTTTACCTTTGATAAATTGATTGTTCCATTCCTGACTTGTGTAAATCCCCCCCCCCCAAGTAAATGCGCTGCTACCGTATCCCACATTTGAGCTTCATGAAATTCGATCAGACATCGTAACCGCTATATTTGACCAAATTCACGCGTCTAATTCCAACTGATCTCAAACCAGCAGCATAGAAGCAGTATTCCGTAACGAACATCTATTGTGCGGCAGTCTCGATGACCTTCACAGAATGAATGCGGTAACACACCACTTCTGCAACCTACCGAGTTATGTCGATAGATTGGCATTCGGCAAATCGTCGTATTCGAACATACTGCTGGTCAGCATCTTCGCACCTGCTCAAGTCAGGCCAGGTTTCCGGTGCGCGTAATCTTCAGTCATGAGCCAACTCTATATCACTTGTTTCGGCAAGCACGTGACCTTGATGTGCGTTGTGTGTGTGTGTGTGTGTGTGTGCCTTGTGCTGCTGCACTATTCGGGGCCTGGATACAAAATAACAATCGACCCGAGGCGGATGAGTGCAACCCATACACGTACGTCTACAACTGTGTGAGTGCTTTCGTATGGACTTGTGTACGTGAGTGTGTGTGTGCGTGCACCGGTGTTCATACGTGCGACGATCGGCACAATTTTTGTGCGTGACAAACACGCACGTAGAGCCGGTTCCTCGCTAGGTGCTCTTGTATTCGCTCTCGAAACTGGATGGTTGGATTTATTGGTGCGAGTTGCTGCTCAGCTTGTGTGGTGTTTCTGTGCATCCGTGCAAACGTGTTTAATTGTTCCGCCCATCACATAGGCAGTGTCAGTGATGACCTAGACATCGTGATAAATCACCATTTATCAGTCTGCGCGAAGGATAGGTGGAGATACCGACCAAGGAAGGGAATCCTCGACATTTCCACCCTGCAGGCCCTTTGCCCCTTAGGAGATTACTGATCTGTTCCATATTGTATCACAACTATTCAACATCGTGTGGATTTTAAACTTGACTTACTCAGGCTCTTTTTCTCTCCCTAGTGGTGAGTCTCTGTTGTTTACTGTGGCTGTTGACAAAGTCTACACGACTTCTAAATAAATAAATGAGAAATAAACGTTTTATTCCTCGATAGTGCGAGGCACAGACCAATTGAATGGTCTGATCAATTTATGCAACGTAACCGCATAATATAGTTACTTTTACTTGTTTGTATAAAGATTCACATATGGATTTTTTGAAATGTTTAACAGTTTGAAAGTACTAAAGCGATTAAGAAACTGGGGACACTAACCAATGTTGCTTTAATGTACTCATAAGTAGGGGATTTTGATGTAATTATGTGAGGTCTATCGCAGCCAGTTTCCAAATCAGATAGTCGTCCACATGCCCGGAAAAGTTTCTAAATGCCATGTCGTACATAGCTACTGTTAGTGGACGTCGTGTCTTTCGGGGCTAACCCTGTTCTATGCAACGTTCGTAACTTGCATGGCAGTGGAGGATAAGACGCGCTATATCGCAGTTAGCTTGTAAATCATGACGGTCCGAAGCTGTCCCCCGTGGCCCAGTGGCATAAGCTGCTGACTGGCGGTTCAATCCGCTGGTGGTCATGGGTTCGAATCCTGATGGATCCGATGGATGCGCACTACTGAAAATGCCCAACAGGCTGAAACTGCAGTCTGGTGCTTTTCCTAGCATGTGGACGACTATCTGATTTGGAAACTGGCTGCGATAGACCTCACATAAATGTAGATTTAACCGCAACTTCAAGTAAAGTAATATCGTCATCCATGGAACTGCCCCAGGGAACCTGCTTCCATGCAGGTTATTCCCTCGATAAGTTTCACCCGCAGTCCCATGCTCCGGCTGGCTCTGTGCCGGTGTGACAAAATAGTAAATAAGCCATCATCTGGGTAACAAAAGTTTCTTTTCCAGATGGGCTGTTCTATGCATATATTATGGGCGATGAAGCCTCAGCCCGTTCCGTCATGCTGATCAATCAAGTAAGGCACTTTTTGTTATAAGCCAGCGAGTCAGTAGCAATATGATTTGCATGGGTATAATGTATTTTTTAGTTTGAAGTTGTAATTCGTCACCTCAAGAGATCAGCCCAATCATGGCCAACAATGAAACAAGAAAGAATATAAAGTCTGAGGAATTAAAAAACGCAATAATGAATACAATTGCTTGCCGAAAGGCCAATCACAATTTGCTGGAAAATCTTGGCGAGTGACGACGATGGCACAGAGACTACAGCTTGAAAGGCGTAGTGCATCTTCGAACCAGTACATCAAAGAAGAAAACAGTATTGATTAGACCGAGTGATAGAAGTAAGATCGTTTATAGATACATAGTCAAGAATTCAACTATATGTAGGTAACATTATAATATTGAGACGAATAGGGGATATGACGACTTTCAAGTGTATCCAGGACTTTTCTCATACACATCATCTAGAGTCATCTTTTGGCTAATTGTTGACCAGCTATTTGAAACAGTCAGGTGAACCTTGATCATCCGTTTGAATTGCGGATAGGCAGTGCAGTTTCTGATATTCGATAGAAGTTTGTTCCATTTTAAAGCATAGTTTATGGAGAAAAATTTTAAGCGGAGCTTGTTGTGAGACTTTTGTATTTACACTGGGTGCTCGATGTTTTTTACTTCATAACGCATACGAGGCTGAACCTCGAGCCGTGGCGGAGCAGTGAAGCTTAACCCGAATAGTAAACGGTATAGAAGGCACAGATTAAGTTTGAGTCTGCGCAGGCATAGCGGCTCCAGTTTTAGTGCCTCGCAACACTCACGGTATGTCATAATATTAGCCATGTTCAACAACCTCGTTGTGAATGATCGCTGAATATTTTCTAGTGCTATGATGTCCACATTTCTCAGATTTCTGTGCACCGTCGTACAGTATTCAAGCTTCGGCCCAACACATTCTATAGGCATGAATGCTGAAATCCCTCAAAATAAGAGTTTGACTTAGGTAGGTGATCACTTTACAAATACTAGCCTGAAAAAATATAGCTTGCTCTAGCTAATTACATAAGGCAGAATATCTTAGACCAAGATCTCGGACAGCGGCACACAGAGGAATAGGGGGTGTAGTTTAAGGATGTTCGGAGAAGGGACACAGCCGTGTTACACTAGACTACACTTGTCAGTGGCAACGTGCAACTTCTAGGAGTTATTTTAATGCTTCCATCCAGACAAGTCAGACAGGCTAAAGTAGGACTACCTTGCCCAGAGGTGGGACAATGCACAATTTGAACATTGTCAGCCAAGAGGAATAGCTTCTTGTACAAGATTTATTCATGGAGATCATTTATATAGAATAAGAATAAAAGCGAGCCTAGCACGCTACCTTGAATCAGTCCACTAGAGATTGTAGTGGCTTCAGAAATATAGTTCACGATTTTGACTACTTGCTTTCTACCTTCAAGATAGGAAGACAACCAATCTAGAAGCGAATTTGTGATACCATAGGACGTAAGCTTCAGTAACAATAAATCGTGTGGGACACCGTCAAAAGCCTTTTGGATGCCAAGAAATATAACGATGATGGCACTTTCAGCGTCTCTTGCTTCAGTCACATAATCAAGGTAATCTAACTAACCTACCGTACAAAAACCGTGCTGATGTTTACTGAGAAGGCTCATAGAACCCAAATATTTTATTATGCGTTCTTTAACTAACCTCTCCATGATTCTGGAGATAATAGATGTGTAGTGGAGTGGACGGCAATTTTTTCACATTTTGCTTAGATCCACTTTTATGTCGTGGTATTATAGTTGTTTCCTTCTAGTGCACAGGATTCTCCCCATTGAGTATAGAAAGTGTAAATACATTAAGCAAAAGCAGGGAGATTTCTGGACCTCCGTTCTTGACTAGAATTGACGGGATGTTGTCAGGACCTGATGACCTTGATATCTGAACTAATCTGAGTTGACGACACATGTCACTAAGTGTAAATTCGACAGTTTAGAGTGTATTACTACCTTTGTGTATCAGCTCATTCGCATTATTGCTATAAGTAGGCATGAAGTAGTCATTGAAGATCGAACATATGATTGCGCGACGGGTTATGGAAGTTTCATCGGGGTTTACAATCGAGTTAATATAACTGAGATTTCTATTCTGGCTACGGTCCGAAAGTTTTGAAACGCCGAATACCACGTTGGTGCCCTTCAGTGCCATTACTTACTCAGAGCGTAGCATTTTGTGGTGGTCTTGGTATAACGCTGTTAGCAATCTGGTGTGAAGCATCAGCAGAGTAAAATCGTTTGTTTTCCTAAATTTTTTCTTTATTTTATGGAGTTTAGTGGCTACCTTTTTCGAGAAGCCTGCAGGTACAGCGGTCATTTTCAACTTCTTAGTAATTTCTGGAGCCGCAACTTCAACACAACACTAAATACGGTGGTAGAACTCATTACAAGCAACCTTTACATCCTGTGCTAAAAAATAGATCCCAATTTGAAGATCTTATAAGATCCGAGAAAATAGACCAATTCACAGAAAAGAATGGGAGGTATTTGATCATTGTTTCTATCAGTTTAGAAGAAGTTGGAAAGAACAACCAACGATGTTATGATCACTACCCGGCAATCTGTCACCGATGTATGTGAACATATGTGAACATTCCATAGTAACTATTAGATCAAGAGTAGACATAAAAGAATTGTGTTATTGTGCTTAATTGTTAAGGGACCATGAGATTTCGGGCATATTAAAATCCCCGGCGATTATTTTATTAGTGTATGAGAGGTCAGCAAATGAGAAAATGTGTCCAACAAGTCATCGGTTACGGTGAGTGCAGACGATGAGGGTCTGTAAATACAACCTGTTGGATTAATAGGAAAGGTAATCCACAACGAATCAGGAACTTTCCATAGCAGTGGTTAATCAAGGGGAAGATGCAAGTATATGTTTGCCGTAGATTATACAGCCACCACCTCTACCATAAAGGCGGTCATTACGAAACATGTTATAACCCAGTATCCCGAACAATGTGTCAGGCATCTCCGCTGAACACCATGTTTCTGTTATTAGTACTATATCAGGAGAAGAAAGATGAAGAATATTACGCAGGAAGTGCATTTTATTTCACAATGAACGAGAATTGATTAATAGTTAGTGCAGTGTCTTTTTTCCCGTTGGATTGTCTACAGGACTCCAACGAGGTGGTATTTGGAGAGAGTGGAGTGGGGGTGGTGCATACAGAGGACATACAATTTGCGGAATTAGTGTCCTTTGTGGGTGTGACGTGTAAAACGCCACTGGACCCCCAAAATGGTCGGAAGTGTGAAATACTGGGAAAATGTTGACCCACTGTGAGATTACATTTCGCTGGCTGTTACATATAACCTACCTGTATGTTAAGGTTATTTACATCTTGAGGAAGTTTGCGAGGATTTTCGTTTTGCCAATTTCTCTGAAACGGGAATTCCACTAGCAAGTGACTCACAGTTTACCTAGCGCAAAGGTCGCATATTCAGATGCTGCATGGTTGGTGATATGCCGACTGTCTGCAGGTTTCCAGTGGTGACTGCGTTTCGTGGAACCTTTAAAATAGCTGTGTATTTTGTGCTTAAGAGCACCTGTATAGATGCCACATGACGCTTCGTTACCAGTGTTCGTTACAGCAAGGCTGTTCCGCCGTTTTAGAGGCACACAGCTTTTTGAAGAGCAGATTTTCAGTTTCGTACCAGAGCTTCCATGCACCTGGTTGGTGAACGATAATGAGTGAGTTGGAATAGTCGTTTGCGCATAGAACTTTCTCGTTTGTTCGGGGACGAGTTGGGCAGTAACAGTGTGCTAACGTGACACTGAGTTGAGTCAGAAGCGATATTTTTAAAACATTTGCTATTTGATTTCAAGGTTAGAGTTGATTCATTTATGGTCAAAGTGTCATCTAGATCGAGCAGGTGAGGGAATCCCCGAGTTTCCGTGGATAGGGGAACAGATTGGTCACAAGCTGTTTATAGGAACTGGTCAATTTTGCACACGCTTTGTAGTACTGTTAAATCTGGTTTCACTACCATCGAT